GCCCACCAGAAGAATCCTCCACACAAAGGTACTTCTCATGCATCACCTGCAACAGGGGTAAATAAACCCTGAGTACACAATGTACTTGCAAGACTTATCCAACTAGTGGGAATAATTTTTCGACTCCAAGGAATATGATAAGCTTCATGGTTTGCTGGTTTTCTTTTAGCCGAAAGCAATACTAATAGTGAGTTCTTATTTATGTTATTATTAGCAGCTATATTAAGTCATTATCTATCCAGTCTATATAAGCACCTTTTCTACTTTCAAGCAAGAGTTAAGCAATCAGTTCTATTTCTTCTTCTTTCAACTTTTAGTTCTTACTACGATGCTAGAGGTAAGACAAGTCGTATCGACTCGGCGGCGATTCATGAACCAATGTGCCCAGCTGGGTGCCCCGAAAACACACACCCCGCTTGTACCCTAGGCATAAGCAGGACTAACCCATCACCCTCCTGTCCTAGGTGTCTAGGTCCCCGTCCAAACTTGGACTCCAAGCCCCCACTCCTGACTCCCGGACTCAGTGCGGTGCAAGGACCTCCACCATCTCCGTCTCCAATCAGTCGGTCCGGAAAGAGCCGGATCCATGACAAGAGAGCAACAAGTCTTCTCTACGCCCATACCCAAGTATGCTCTCGGGACAATAGATCTATGACTTGCCTCGCGTCCATTGCAATGACCGGTCCTTAAGTGACACAGACAGGGAAAAAGTGTAACCGAGCTATGTCCTATTGGCCGCAGGACACAACCCTTTACACTCACCAGAACCCAACCATATCCCTACCCGATCATCATTTTCCTTTCCACCATTTTACCATGAGTGATCATGTTTATCACCTATTTGTGAGTAACGACAGGTTACCCACGCTACCGACATCCTGAGCATAGCAGCTATTCGACCTATACTAGTAGGACTCATGGGTGGATATATTTATGCACGTAGTTTCCATAAAATGCCTATAACATAAATGCACAACACATATATATATATATATCCAGTTATTATTTAAAATAAGGGTTATGCATCAAGGCTTGCCTTGGGTAGATGGAGTGTCAGCAAAGTCAGCAACTGATGGCTCAGGGACTCCCTCCTGTATGAGAACCTCCTCCTCGTACTCCTCGATCACCTCCTCATACTCCTGCTCGCCCGCAGTCACGAACTCTACCAACTCATTATCTACATGCATGAAATGGTGATGCAACGCTTCGTAATACGGACAACAACAACTCTTCAAATAAGAATACATCTATCAAGGTACTAAGCTAACTCTAATGACTAATACACAAAGTTATCTATTATTCCCACTAAACAGGTATGAAACATTTCATGTATTTTCTTAGCAACTAAAGGCATCCTTATTATTAATATCAATTTACTATGTATATGATAAAACAAGGTGCACTAGCTACCATATTTATCAACCTATTCTAAGGCTACAACAATTACAGTGAGCACATAATAATACAATGAACCTACCGTAAAATATTTTTAGGGCTAGCACTTCTACCAATGCATCACAAAAACTCATTCTCTAAATAACCATAATAATAATACGCATTTCAAAATAATAAAGTAACCCTAAAGGTATCACTAAACTATATGAACTATATACACTAACAGATAGATCATGAATTTAGAAATCTAACAAAATTTATTTCATAATAAATTCAAATGAACTCTAGAGATGAAGAAATGATATGGATGGGTAGAGAGTGATTTTAGATGAATTTAGGAAAAAGAATCAATGGAATCGGAGTTCGTATGAGGAAGATATTGATTGCGCAAGGTGGCTGTTTAATTGATTCCAAAAATAAAAATGATATTATTGGAGAAGGCTAATCACGCAATTGGACTTGTTGACTTGCACATGGCTGTGGTCTTTGGTCCATGACGTGATGAGGGGGGTGTGCTGGTTCATTTATGCAAGTTAAGGAATTAATGGAGGAGATATAAATCTTGCCAAGTGGTATGCTAATAATTAGTGAATGACAATAATTTATCATTTGACTTTGTGGCTATGGAGCTCTCACGTGGAGAGAGATGACGTGCTGGAAGGGTAACTTAGACTTCACGACGCTTTGTTGGACGTGATGACCGGGTGAATCCTAGTTAATACTATTTGGGTACATTAGTGTGGGTCTAGAAATAATGGAGAATGAGAATGAAGGAAATTCTTACAGGCTAGCTACCTCGGTCGATTACAGCTCGGGGAGAAATCAATAGACGCAGCTTTCTCGGGCAAGAACAGAGGAACTTGATTTGAGAGGAAGAAGGTGAGCGGCGGAGCGCAGCTCTGGAGCTCGGCATGATGGGAGGGTTGCGCGGTGTGTCCTTTATAGGCAGGGGATGCGGGGCTGGAGGTGGAGCTGGCACTGGGAAAAACGCCTGGCGTGCGCAACACACTATGGCAGCGGCAGCGTGACGTGGGCTGATAATTTTGTAAGGCGATTAGCAAGTGAAGTAAAGGCGTGGGTGATTAGAACAACGAGAGAGGACAGTGGCGCGTCGTGAGATTGATGGAGATATTGCTGGTCTTAATATTGGTTGCTAATCCACTTTTGAGAAAAGAAAAAGTATTTGGATTAGTCACACTTGAACTTGCATACACGTGGCTAGTTGAGGAGTGTGTTTTGGGCTTAACGTGTAGGTGCTGCTGGTGCATGAACGTGTTGCGCGGGTAGCGAGCGAGCGACGTGCTCAGTGGGCTGAGCCTATGGAGAAGACGACTTGTGCAGAGAGGAGCATCATGGTCAGCTAGCACAGGGTAAGAACGTGCTGCCCTACAGCAAGGCATTAATGGATGGCATGCGAATTTCTACGAGGTGTTGCGGTCGGTCATCTTCGTTTGCTGAAAAGCGCGTGCAACACGCTAGAGGCTGCTGCCTAACTCGCCATTCGTGACACGGCGAAGTAATGACACTATGGAGAAACTTGCCAGTGAAGGGTACTGCAAGCGTGCTACGCGGGCTTGCTCTACGAGTGTGATGAGGGCATGCTCCGGGGATCAAGAAGGAGATGAAATAGTGAGAGATGGAGTTGGATCAGGATGACAATAGTGAGTTGAGCTGTGCTGGAGAGTATTTGGACAAGGAATAAATTAGAGCTCAAATTGAGAATTAGTGCAATAAAATTTAATTTGTCCTTTTACCACATGCAATAATACATAAACATGATGCTCATGACATGGTTTTAGCAAAAACTGTACAATGTAACACCGATGGTGTTACACAGCATCCTTCTGAGAACCGAGAAACCTAAAGCCTCAACTCATTATCCATAAAAGCTTTAAAGGGCTAGTATCTTTCTAAATGCTAAATGGTAAATACTTGATCAACTATCGTTTATCCATTATTCTAGCTAACTAACTCATTAAATGGGTTAAGACAACTAACTAAATAGGTGACCATACAATTAAACTAGAAGACCTACCACCGTATAACATTTACACGGTGTTTAAACAGGCAAAACAACTGTTCGAGCAAACAGTCCATGACTAAAGAAGGGGAAAATATGCAATGAAAATTTTAGGTAGGTAGAGGAAGAGAAGAATTTCGATCGAATGTGATATAACAAGGTGTTTTTTTTTTTTCACTTGCGTCGTGTCATGTGCTCCAATGGCTAGTTTCTTGGCCTTTTTTTTTTTTTCCAGAGAGAATTCCTTACCTTGTCCATCTACAAGCCGCGCCACTGCCACTTCCACTTATCATTTAGGATATGCATAGAAAACAAATCGTAGAAGGGAGAAGAGTTGAAAATGAGCAATGATGAACGATAAATCGAGACTCACACGGTACGGTTATGGAGAGATAGGATATCATGCAACATGAGATTCGCTCGAGTTGTTTAAGGGCCAAGTTTTGTTGCAGTTGTCTAAGCACCTTTCGTACTTGCCACATGTTAAGTATGAAAACGACAGGTCAAGTAACATGTTGTCATCTAGTCGATTCGGTACATTTGTGACGAGAGGTGACCGAGTAAAATGGTAGTACATCTATCCACCACGACCATTTTATCAAACGTCTTGACCAAATGTGGGGAAAAGGGTGACACGTGAGTTACCCCTTACGAACTTGAGGTTTGTAAGGATGGTGTAGGAAAAATCGTAAACCCCACAAAGAGTTGGATATGAAACATTTTGAAAATGAAGTGCACTTCACAATCGTTGTTAGGGTTTGGAATGTAGAACTTCGTCCCAACAACCTCGCGTAGTTAACAATTCCTGTAGTTTTTTTCTCTCTCCCTCTCTTTTTTTTCTTTAAACCTATTGGGGTGAGGCTATAGGTTGTAGCCGCCTATGTCATCCTACTCTATGGAACTTGAAGTCAAGCAACACCGCAAATTAGCTCTCGGATTCGGCTAATTGGATTGACACCGAGTGTATTTGCACTACTATCTAATGAACTAGCCTCTCTCTGTGGTGGATTGAAATTTTAGTAGTAGTTGCCGGAAAAAAAAGGACTTGCGTCAGTTTGTGATTTTCGATTTTACGGAGTATGTTTTTGTGTAAGAGACGATTTTGTGACTGAAGTTGGATCAATAATCCATTTGTACGGAGAGAGAGCAATGAGCTTCATCCAGGTGGAGTCTCTGCCCCGGTGCCCCCACACGGCCGGCACACGACCTTGACTAGACTCGAGTCGCCCGAAAGAACCCAGAGCGAGTGAGCGACCGACCCCGTTCAGATTCTGCACCCGGCCCACCACTCCGGCACGGGAGCCCATAGAGAGAGAGAGAGAGAGACCACCACCACCGCGTCCACAGCCGCCGCCACTTTCCCCACTTCCCAGCGCCTCCACCAACGCCGCATCAACCCAGCAATGGCGACTCCAACGCCACCACCGATCCTCCTCGTCCTCTTGCTCCTCGTCGCCTCCTTCCCTTCCCACACACGTGCCGCGCCGCCGCGCCGCTCTCCGCCTCCCCGTTCGACGCGGCGCTGGCCGCGCTCCAGTCGCGGGTGGGCTACGCCTTCCGCGCGCCGTCCCTGCTGCGCCGCGCCATGACGCACGCCTCCTACTCCCGCGAGAACGGACGCGCGCTCGCCGTCCTGGGCCTGGCCGCCGCGGAGTCCGCCGCGGCGCTCCGCGCCCTGGCCGCCGACCTCGACGCCGCGCCCTCCGCCGTGTCGCGCGCTGCCAGCGAGGCCGCGTCCGGCGACGCGTGCGCCAGGGCCGGGGCGCTGCTCGGGATCCCGGACGTCGTGCGCGTCGCCGGCCGGACCAGCGCGTCCGCGCCGACCGTCGTCTGCGGTGCCCTCCGGGCGCTCGTCGGCGCCGTCGCCGTCGACGCCAACAGCACCGATGCCGCAGGGGAGGTGTTCTGGAGGCTGCACGCGCTCACTTCGTCTGCCGCCGTCGCCGCGGTGTGATGTGAGAGGCCGGGCTGCTGGACCATCCGACTGAAACTGACCCAGTGCGGTTTGCAGTACATCTCCTCATCAGTGTCCTCCTGCTACGGTTCTACCGTGTTTATGCTCAGTTTAGTGACGCTACTGCTTCTCAGCTCTCTTCTCTTGTGAATTGTGATGTTCAACTGCCACTTTGTACTGCTATGCTCTACTCTACTTGTAGTATATTATTATGCTCCATCCATCAAGGAATGTCCATTTGCCTGCACATTTGGATTTCTGGCTGCAATAAACTGTGATGAATTATGGAACATGCATGTACTCCTTTTGAGACAGATTATACGTATCCAATTCATGGACTGAAATGTTGTGATTGTTGCAACAAAATTTGTGCAATTAGCACCAACACGATGTTCAATCGTTGTGCAAGATAATATGTACTGTTCCTAAATCCTGATTGACAGTGACGAGGAAATATCAAAATAGACTTAATGATGCTCATTTGTAATTGTAAATATTCATATTCTTTTTCTATAACCTTGTGAAAGATACGATAGTTTGGCTTCGAACATAATTTGACTTCGAACAAACTTTGGGACGGAGGAAGTAGAATGCAAATGTTTGTGGAGGAAAATAGTAAAAAGATCAAAACAAATGCCAATTAAGGTTACAAAGTGTTTAAAGTGGCGAGTACCGGATTGTTACATTGAACTAATAATATATCAGCCATACATTTGCAGCATCGCTCTTGTATATTGCCCTAACCTCACTTAAGGCCGCACATTGCCTCTACGCAGTAACAAGACCATCTGACCAGGTGACAAGCTTGTCCAAAACTCGATTCAGGGAAACTCCTGTTACAATGTGGCAAGGGCAAACAACCAACGCAATAGATAACTACTTCCTTGGTTTCTTGCTCCTGTGTGAATTCTCAGGAGTTGAGGCATCCACCTTACGTTTCTTGGCTAGTTGCTTCGCTTTTCTTGCAGCCACAGAGGGTCGCTTAGCTTTGCAAGCACTCGCTCCAGTTTCATTAGTTTTGCTCTGCTTCCCTTTGTTGCTGGGCTGCTGGTTCACTTTCACCTTCTTCACAACACCAGATTTGCTTGATCTCAGGCCTTGATACGACAAAGCTGATGCCTTTCGTTTGGCTTTCTCACTGCCTTCATTAGATTTGCTGCCTGGTGTCGAAACCTCCTTGTGTTTTGGTACACGACTCCTTTTCTGGACTTCCGTTTTCTTTAGTGTTGTGTCCACCGGTTTTGCATGAGTGAGCCTCAACAGGCGATCTCTTATCTTCATATCCCGTTTTCTTGCAATAGAATTAGCAGCTTCCTGCATAGCATATATCACAATGTCAAAGGTTCTTGCAACCGCTCATATTTGCAGATAATGTATCTGAAAGAGTTATTCAAAACATACTTCTTATCAGGACAGTTAGGGAGTTATTTAGGTGTAAATATTGTATATTAATTGGATTGTTAACCAAAAAAATGAAATCAGTTTTCTAGTAGCTAAAATAAGAGAAGAAATTATTTAACAAGCGAGCTGTCCCAAGTGAAGACAAACCATGCCCACTGTTGCAAGCTGCAGCATGGATGATCCAAGAAAAGCTTTGTTTGCATAGAACCCAGGAATCGAGTAAAAAAGGCGGTTTCAAAATTTAAGATCCATGTTTATAATTGACATTTTAGCGCCGATATATAGTTCAGAAAGGAAGCCTTGCTATTGTACTTTCCTTTGTAAATACCACTAGAATAATTCAAGAAGGGGTCATCAGGAGATGGCATTGTTACTAACACTACAGCTTTCCAGAAATGATTTGCAAGATTGCGTAGCATACAAAGAAGTATGCTAATCGACAGTTCATGTACATTGCATAGACTAGTTGGCTGATCAAATGGGCCACAGTAATCCAAACGAAAGAGTGAGATACGAAGTTTACCCTTGTTTTGAATAAAACATACGCGATACCCTTCCCTAGGCTTGAACTTGGATCTCTGATAACACGTATAGCCTCAACATCACCTTCTGATCCACTGGAACTGCAGAACACCTGGTAGACCTCTTCATCCTAACATGTCACAAAGTAAGTCTAAGTTAATGTAGGCAAAAACGAAATACTGTTTTTTTAGAAACTAAAGAAACCATAGTATAAGAATGAACAAATTGCTCACCTTTACATCAAATGGAAGGTTCCCAACAAACACAGTCCTCTTTCTGTCATAAAGAGGCCCTTCTCCTCGAAGTTTCTTACGAGGGGGGCATGCCATATCAACACGAATGTGATTGCCACCGAACTAAAAGGTTACAAGATTCAGAAAGAACAAGAAGATATATCAATCAAGGCACATAAATTTGTAAACTATCAGTTAATGAACTAATCATGTTTTGAGCTGTATAACAGCCAACCTTACCAGTGCCATATTATGAGACAAAGCAGCGCGTGCAGACTGTTCATCTTTGAAGACAATGTAGGCATGCACACTGCAAAGAATACAAGCAAATATGAATATGGAGAACCACTAAGCTTAAATCACGCAGTAATTTGGGCATACTTTAACCTAAAGCTGTTAAATGCCATGTGCTTTAAATCACTGTTTCACTGCATATACTAGGCTATATATAGATTCCGGCAACAGAATGAACAATGCAAGTACATAACTAACTAGATGAAGAACAACAATGATCCAGATGCAAATGAGCACTCACTTATCGACCAATTCATTGACCTTCCCCTGTAAAACGGCCCCTCTTCTCGAAAGCTTGGTCTGCAGGAAGCACGACACCAAACGAATGAGAAACCTTTCCACCCCAACCCGAACAAAGAAGAAGGCGATGGCAATGGCACTGTACTGACGTCGACCAGCGGCACAGAACGGATCCTGACGGACTCGATCTCGCCGAACGCCGCGAACTCCTTGGTGAGCACCTTGCGCTTGGTCCGCAGCGGCAGGTTCCCCACGAACACGGTCCTGAGCAGCTTGATCTCGTCGTCGAACTCCTCTTCCTCCTCCTCGGCCCCTACCGCGGCGTCGTCGGGGGCCTTCCTCTTCTCCCCCACTCTCGGCGGCTTCTCCGTGCCCGCGCCTCGCCGCCGCTCGCGGCCGGCCTCGAGCTCGTCCCGCTTCCGCTTGGGCCGCGGGCCTTCCTCCTTGCTCTTCTTCTTCTTCGAGGACGGGTCGGCAGCCTCGGCGCCAGGGCTGGGCTGCTTGCGGAGGAGCGTCGCGGCGGGGGCAGGGGCAGGAGTCGCGGCGGGCTCCTCCGTAGAGGCCTTCCGGCGAAACGGGTTGTCCGCGGAGAAGAGGGAGCGGATGGCCTCGGCCGGGGAGTCGCCGCTCGCCGCCTCAGCTGCTGGGTCCCTGTGCTTCTTCGCCATCGGCGGCGGCGGCGGGTCTCCCGATTCGGTTGCGGTTGCGGGTTGCGGGTTGCGGCGGGGTCTCGTGAAGAAGAGGGCAAAAGTGGGAAAGGACTTGTCCTCCTCGCTGGGCGGCTCGGAATAGACGTGGGGTTGGGAAAGCCTCTGGAATTTCCAGCCGTCCGATGGAGCACCGACGGCTAAGATTGGTCCGTGCTCTGTACAACGGCCGCCGAGGCTAGGCTACCCTTCCTGTTCCTGAGCGAGTCGGTCGCGATAGGGGAGGAGGGTTAGGGTTCTAGCGCTCTCTGCTTTCTCCCTGCGCCGCCGCCACCGCCGCTGTGGACGACCGGAGCGGAGTGGGAGGGGATAATGGAGGGAGGTAGCCGCGCGGACGGGCGGAACCCGAACCATCTCCGGCCGTTCTCCTGCACCGGGAACCCGCTCCACCGCGCCCACGGCTCCGCGCGGTGGGCGCAGGGCGGCACCATCGTGCTGGCCGCTGTGTACGGGCCCAAGCCGGGGACCAGGAAGGGGGAGAACCCCGAGAAGGCCTCCATCGAGGTCGTGTGGAAGCCCAAGACCGGCCAGATCGGTACGGTACCCCGCTCTTCCTCTAGAGTTCACTTCGCCCCGCGGCTGCGCGTGCATTGGCGGTGATCAAGAGGGTGTTTCGTGCTTGCAATGTCGTTTGTCCCCGAGTAACCACGTGGTCACTGAAATGGCGCGTTGTTTTTGCAGGAAGGCAAGAGAGGGAGTATGAGACGACACTCAAGAGGACGTTGCAGAGCATTTGCTTGCTTACAGTTCATCCTAACACCACCACCTCTGTCGTGCTTCAGGTAATGTCGCCCCGCTGGCAGCTGCCATGCTAAATTTGCTTCTGTTGTTCTGTATACAGTTCCACCATTGCTGTTAGGTTGTGTTTGATACAGAGTATAATGCAGCTTGGTGCATTATATAGTAAATCCTATGTAGTACTACTTTTGGCAAGCCGATGGAAAATCAGTGAACGTTTCTTTAGTATTATTAGAGTTAATTATATCAATCACACTGCAAATGTCATAAACAAAGTAAAATGCACCTCTCAGTTCCCTTATTTAAACCTTAATAACTAGCTTTCCTAGTGCATCCCCAGGGTGCAGACTTGATGTGCTTATGAGGGAAGGTACAAATAGTTACTAGGATGTCCACTTCCAAAAACTCTCTGGCTAATCATCTCTTCAAAGCACACCCATTGTGCATGCTCTTATGCTGGCTATCGTTGTTCATGCTCATGCCACTTACCCATCGTTAATCTTGTTTCTGCAGGTTGTGGGTGATGATGGCTCTGTATCTTTCCACATGATGTAGCAGTAATATAGTTTGTCTGCTTTATGCCTATTGCATTTGTTAGCCTGCATTCTAATTAAAAACTTCAATTTTTGGGCTAGTGACTGTTAGGTTGATTTATTGATTTTTGGATAAAATCGCTAGCATCAATTAGGCAGTAACTTATAGGGAATATAATGCATGATAGCATGAGCAAATGGCTAACATCAACTAGGTGTGGAATTAGAGGGAGTTGAATCTTTTGTCTGATATCTATATCCCTTCCTTGAAATGTAGTTTGTTGCCAAAACATCATGTGCATTACAAGACCTTTAAACTCAAAAATATGAGTACCTTCTTTATTTCAATCGAAGCTAGTCTTTGTTTCCTTGACAGTGCTTAGCTTCTGCTATGTGCAATTAATGCTTCCTGTGCTGCCCTTGCATTTGCTGGAATCCCTATGAAACATCTTGCTGGTAAGTTTAGTATATTTTTGTGTGTCATCCGTTCAGACTTCATAGCTAACAAGTCACAAGCTTCTATTTGCTGCAGTTGCGATTGGCTGTGGGGTGATGGACAATGGTGCGGTTATCTTAGACACCAACACAGCAGAAGAGCAGGTAGAAATTGCTCATTTTTTAATAAATCAACTGTAGAAAAATCAAAACAGTCAATGGTTCCATTTGGACCATTTCCTGTCCAGTATTCTTTATTTATTGACTTCTGCTTGATCACTGTGCTGTTCGATAACTCCTGAGCACCTGCAGCAATATGCTGCTTTCTTTGTGATTTGTTGTGTGGAATAAAGTTTGATAAGTCCCAGGGACTACAATTTTGGTCTCCTGGCCATTGGGGTCTTATATCTGTTACAACCCTAAGTCAGAGCATGCTTCTTCAGTCCTGGCCGTAGCTCTAACAGCAGCAACGATAACAAAGACAAAGATTTTTCATCCCAAGCAAGTTGGGGTACACTAGCGATGAAATCATGAGACCCAACACACACAAAAAAAGGTAGGAGGGAAGCAAAAGAAGGTATTAGCAATGGTAACAATAGTAGCAAAAGGGGATTGATATTCCCTCAGCAGCTCTAGATCGAGGCAAAATTTTCCAGAGATTGTTCCCCTTTTTTTTAACTGCATACACTGAATAAACATCAAAAGAATATGATGCTCCCGTTTCCTACCCAGATTGTGTTTTTGGCTGTGCTCCTGATTACTGAACACCAACCATATGTTGTTTTTGTGTTGAATTCTTGTTGAACCGTTTCTAAATGCTTGGAGCGTGCTTTTCCAGTTCATATATCTAAAGTAAGAATATCAAACCAAAGTTCTCCTTGAAATAATTTTTTGGTAGCATATGGAACTGACGATGTACGTGCATCAAACTGCAGCAAGCAAAATCCTTTGCTCACCTGGTGTTTCCGAACTCACGCAAGTCGGTGGATTCAAAGGACCCGACACAGAAAGACGAGGAGTCCGAGCGAGGATTGATATCTTGCATCACGCACGGAGCGATGTCTGGTACGGTTCTACGTCCCGCGTCTTCCTTGTGGGTACCGTTGGAGATGCATGATCTGCCACACTGACAAATGCTGCTCTGCTCTGTCTGTCTGTCTCCCTATCTTGCTGCGCGATGATGATCAGATGACGACTATTTCAACTGCATAGAGAGAGGTGTCGCGGCGTCCTCGAAGATCTCGGATTTCATGAGGAAGACACTGCAGAAGGAGGCGTCCGGGGATGCCTGACCTGAGTAGCAATGTATTAGCACGACTGAGAAGCTGCCTGCCTGTGATGTTGATGGCAATGGCATGTAGGCAGCAGCTGGGCCTCCAATTTTGATGGCGGCTCGTGTTGGAATGGAGGAGGCAGACGAATAGACGATCATGTTAGTAGGAGATGCTGGGCGGGGTGATTTGTGGGTGTTGGATTCGTTCGATGTCGAGTGTCTTTGTGGAACAGTTGGCAAGGGTGCGGTGGAGGCCGGTTGGTCGGCGTGTGATGTCGCAGTCTCACTAGCTAGCTGGAGGGAAAATTAGTTTCATAGATCACGACATCTGGAAAATATCATCGAAAGACGTCCATCACGTAAAATACCACTGAAAGAGTAGACTGTTACCTATAAATAGTATTCTGTCACGGTTGCTGCTGCCGCCGTGAATCCCCCCGTCAGGCACCTTTCTTCCCCAATCCAGCGGTTCCTCCATCGTCCGTAAGAGTTCTCCATCTAGCATCTCCTCGCCTCCTCTGTCCCCGCGAGGCAACACCGCCGAGGATGAAGGACCTCACGTATAAGCGAACAACCCCCGCACGCAAAGCCTTGCTGAACGTGCGCACCACCGGCTCCAAAGCTCCCGGTGAACCTCCTGGGAGATCGCAGCACGCACCGATGCCGCAACCATCTTGAATCGAACCTTCCTCCCCTCCTCGCCGCGCCGGACATCGGGCGGGACCCTACCACGGGCTACTCGGCGGCGTCGTGATTGACCACTGCGTCCTGCTTACCGCCGCCGCCGGCATCAGCTGTTCCTTCATGCTGCTTGCAGTGGACATGGCAAGGAACCTGGACTACGTCACTACGGAACCTAGGAACGCTTCATCACCGCGAAGACCCCGGCCAGGCCAGCGTGGTTTTCACTATTTTTTCATCCCGCACGAACACAGCTAAATAATCAACATGCAAGCGGCGGTGCTGGTGATGGTGGCTGCACTGGCCTCCCGCCTCCGTGATTTTCACTACCTTTTTTACTACTCTTCTGCAAGGATGTGTTTGCAGACCATGAGCGACCAATCGTTCAAGGTGCTTGTGTTCATGTCGGCATTTATCACTATACGCGGTTACTGACTACTACGGCACAGATGCTGCCATACTAGTACGCGTACGGCGGCGGTGGATCGAGGCGCATTCTACGGGCACGGTGGCAGTACTCCCTCTGATGCCTGGCACAGACATGTCCATATTCATGGTAGGCATCGCTGCAGCGGTTCATGGAAAATCCCAATGGCCGAGTGGCTGCGCGCTCCTAGCTAGGCGATGAGCTCCTAGGTCGTCTTCGTCCTCCTTGCCATCGCTGTGCCCGCTGCTGTCGTCTGCCTCTTCCCCGTTGACCTGGCACTGCTTCGCCGTGGCACTTCGATGGGCAGGTCCCAGGCCTCGATCACCCTGGTCGCGTCGGCGACGGAGCGCTCTCACGCGGCGTTGGGTACAGGCACGGCGCTCACCCTGTTGCCAGACCAAGGGGCACGGAGCTGCTATACCTCCTGCATGCGAACGGAGAAGCTGCTAGACTGAGAAAGAAGAGGGCTTGACGGAGGGATTCACGGCATTAGTGTCTACCTTACATACAGTCGTCTTTTGATGGTATTTTTCAAATGCATTGATTTTTCAATGCTATGAAACCAATTATCCCCTATGCTGGATGGATTGGTGGAGTTTGAGGGGTCTGGAACAGGTAATGAGGCTGTATTGGTACCTTTGCTCGGGCTGAATTTGTGCATGATGCCAAATGTTTTTTGAAGTCATAATATGATGCACGCCGCGCGTTGAGTTGGCTGAAATTTTACTTAAAAACAATATCCACCTAAAATAGAAGTCGTTCTTGCCTCTCGAAAAATCAATATTTTTAACTTTGACTAATTATATGTAAAAGAATATTAATATTTATAATACATAATTAGTATCATCGGATAGACCATAGAATATACTTTCATAATAAACTTAGTGTTTGGTTTCCCTACTAAAAATTAGTCCCTGTTACATTGAATGTTTAGACACTAATTTAGAGTATTAAACGTAGACTAATTACAACACTAATTGTACAGATTGAGACTAATTTACAGAGATGAATCTATTAAACCTAATTAGACTCATGTTTAGTCTTTCTAATTAGTATCTAAATATTAGATCTGACATCTACTAAACTTTAGTCTCTGAATCCAAACATCCCTTATTTAGAGATTAGAGATATAGGCCTCATTCGGCTTACCTTATAATCCAGCTTATTCGGCTTCTTTTTTTATTCGAAACAGTATTTTTCTCTCAGAGCCAGAATAGTGTTTTCCTAGCTAATTTCAGCTAAACGAATGGGACGATAAATATTACACTTATTTTCTACAAGTTACTCAAAGTTGAAAAAATTAACGTCATGTGATGTGATGTGATACGAAATGTTTGGTGCATTGCGTTTGTTTGTTAGCGGTGGTTTGGTTTACGCCGCACATCACAGCCATGTTCCGCCGAGGGTGACTAGTGAGCTGTGCAGCGTGCAGACGCGCGTGTCCTACCGGCACTGGTACATCAGTTTGGTAGAGTTGTGTAGGTGAAGGGACGAAACACCGAACACGGCGGTTGAGATGCCTGCCTGCCTCCCACTCCCTCCCAGGAGGAAACGAACATAAGCGTGATTAATGCGGCACGGATATTTACCGACATTTATTGTTATAGAAAAATAATATTTGTTGACTGAAAAAATATGGTTTATAAGATTGTCTCCAATAAAGAAATGTAAACCCAAAATATGTTCCTCACAATGCTTTGCCTATCAAAAACAGCCTTCAACGGGTGACCCAAACACATGACTCATTTTATGTACCGACATAAACAATACGTAAAAAAGCATCACATCTCTCCTCGCTACACAAATCTCCGATGGTGGCCCGTCCGCGCACGCGTTTTCGTCTTCTCTGCCGCAGAGGGATGAGGACTGGGGAGGAGGCGCATGAGACCACAGCTCGGCGGCGTCCTGGGCCGCGGTGAGGGCGCGGCAGCCGGCGACGGGGTACGCGCGGTGTAGGGTCGAGATGGCGGATTAGAGGGGGGTGAATAGTCCTTTCTAAAATTAATCGTGTCGGCTAACCGAAATCAGTACGGAATTAAAACTATCGGTCTAGCCAAAACTACACCCTCTATTTATGTTCTCTAGCACCTTTCAAAGATACTAATTAGGCAACAGAGGCGCCGGGCTAGCTAGAACTCACCTAACAAATTCTAGAAGCAATGTCACATAAACCTATGCCACTGGTACTTTAAGCAACAAGGAAGCTCCTATACATGCTAGTAAGCAAAAGCAAAAAGCCACCTAAGCTCACTAGCAATGCTCAATAACAAGGCAATCAATGCCAAATTAGAGAGCGCAAATACTTAGCTACACAAACTAAGCAATGTGACTAACAAGGTTATACAAACCAAATTAGTCACACAAGGGAGCTACTTCTATGCTACACAAGCAAAAAGGTAACTAGTAAGCTACACAAGCTAACTAATTACAAGAGCAACTACACAAGCACAATGTATATGAAATGTAAATACAAGCTTGTGTAACGAGGATGCAAACCAACGGAAGAACAAGGTTGATATGGTGATTTTTCTTCCGATGTTCATGTGCTTGCCAACATGCTAGTCTCCGTTGTGTCGACCGCTCACTTGGTGGTTCGGCGGCTAATTAGCATCATCCGCCAAGCCCACACGTCGGGCACCGCAAGAACCTACCCCGAAGGTGAGGGTAGCTCAATGACACGCTTTACTAAAGTTGCTCTTCGCGGCTCCCGCGGAGCGAGCACAATGCCCTCACAAAGCTCTTATCCGGAGCACCGCACAAGCTTCTTGCGGGCTTCAACGGAGACCACCACCAAGCCATCTAGAAGGTGGCAACCTCCAAGAGTAACAAGCACCACCGGCTTACAACTCGATCACCTAATACCACTTTGATGCAACCTCACGATGCAATCCCACTAGAATCACTTTCTCAGACAATCGAATGATCACTATCAAGTAGATGTGAGATGGAGGGCTCCCAAGCACTACTACACAAGCCACCAATGCTCTAGTGTGCTCAGCTACAGGCCCAAGGCCGACCATGGCTTCTATTTATAACCCCACGAACAAATAGAGCCGTTACCCCTTCACTAGGCAAAAGTCGGGCCGACCGGACGCTCCGGTCAGGTTGACCGAACGCTGGACCTCAGCGTCTGGTCGCTCGATGACAGCCACGTGTCACCTGCTTCAAATACAGTACGCCCGATCTCAACGGTCATATGACGACCGGACGCTGCAGCATGAACTGACCGGACGCAGCAACCCCAATTTGCGATCGTTTCCAGTAAGGTATCGGATATGATCGGACGCGTCCGGTCGGTTGCGATCGAACGCAGCACCAGCGTCCGATCACTCTCCAGCTTCTCTGCTCTGCCTGCGTCATCACACGTCACCCTGACCGGACGCACACAGCCAGCATCCACATCAACTCCAACTTCATCTCCCTTGTAAATGTGCCAACACCACTAAGTGTACACCACCATGTGTATGTGTGTTAGCTTTTCACAATCATTTTTCAAAGGATTAGCCACTCAACTTGCCACGTCACTCAATCTTAGCGACGATGCAAAGTTAGATCACTCAAGTGGCACTAGATGACCGATATGCAAACAAGTTTGCCCATCTTGATAGTACGGCCATCTATCCTAAACCTGGTCATCAACTTCTCTACACATCCATGACCGGTGAAATGAAATGCCCTAGGTTATACCTTTGCCTTGCGTATTTCATTCCATCTCCTCCAATGTCGATGCAACACATGCACCAACATGATCAACAATGATATGATCCACTTCATATCATCACGTGATCATATTGGTTCATCGATCTTGACTTTACTTGCTTTTTATCGTTGCTTTCGTCCATCGGCGCCAAGTCTTGCTCAAGCTTCACCGCCATGCGGTCCATCGCTTCAAAGCCTTCAACTTGCCCTTCACGCTTGCAACCGGTCCATCAAGTCAGGTCTTGTCTTGATCTTCTCCACCTTGATCACATGACTCAATGTCATGTCTCATGTGCAATGAGCTCCTTCATCATCATATGTGTGAACTTTGCAACATCTCCAAACCATTTTCATCTTCATAGGATATGTTGCTCACACACATGTACCTGTGGACTAATCACCTGTGTATCTCACATAAACACAATTAGTCCACCTAGGTTGTCACTCAATTACCAAAACTACACAAGAACCTTTTCACGCGGCTGGCGGCTCCCGCAGGCGGCAGCGCGGCACGTGAGCGGGGGCGCACGCCGCCATGGTGACGATGGGAGCAGTCGTCGGGAGAGGGGCGCGTGGATCCGGTGGGTGGGGGCGTGGGGGTAGCGCCGGGTGCGTGTGAGCCAGCTCGAGAGAAGCGGCGCCAGTAGACGACATCTCATCGAGCTCATGGTGGGCCTCCTCCGGACCTCGCGCTCGCGGCTTGGTCTGCGCGAGGAAGAACCGGCAGCGCTCGAGGATGGAGGCGGGGCTCGCTCACGGCAGCGTGCGAGGAAGGAGGCCGGGGCGCCCTCACAGTGGCGGCCAACGCAGCGACGGCGTCTCGTCGGAGCTCGGGAGCGCAGTCGTCCTGTCGCAGCTACGGTGCGTGGGGCTCGACGTGGGGTCACGACAGGCCATGGTGCTCTTGGACAGGGCTGAGTTATGGGTGCGTGACCCTTTCCTGTGCATAACCCAAAACCTAGAATGGGTATCGTGTTTAGGGCTCCTTTGTTGGAGACAGTCTAAGGAGGTGTTTGAATCCAGTGATTAAAATTTAGGAGGTGTGTCGGGAGGATGTTGCATGGGGTGTTCGGATACTAATAAAAAATAAATTACATAATTCGTCGGTACTCCACGAGATGAATTTTTAAGCCTAATTAATCCGTCATTAACACATGTTTACTGTAGCAAACATTGTCAAATCATGGACTAATTAGACTTAAAAGATTCGTCTCACAAATTAGTCGCAAACTATGCAATTAGTCTATATTTAATACTTCATGCATGTATCAAATATTTTATGGAACAACGATTAAAATTTAGACGGAGCAATCAAACACCACCCAAGGCAAGCGAACAGAGCATTAACTGATACAGCTGATATCTGAATTTATTAAATAAAAAATACTGCAGCTCTCCGTCTATCTCTGTCTGTATCCCATCTGTACGCCGTGTTTAGTTTTAGAAAGTTGGAATTTTGGATTACTGTAACATTTTCGTTTTTATTTGACAATTAGTATTTAAACATGGACTAATTAGGCTCAAAACGTTCGTCTCGCAATTTTCCACCAAACTGTGCAATTAGTTTTTTTTTCGTCTACATTTAATGCTCTATACACGGGCCGCAAACATTCGATATGATGACTACTGTAGCATTTTTTAGATTTTGGATCGTAACTAAACACGGGCTTACACCCTAGCAAGCACCAAGCAGTTGGAAATTGACTGACGCTAGGAAGCTTCCTACTAGTAATAAACATTTTTACTTTTACTTTTACTACTATAGTAGTCTTTGAGTCTTGACCGAGGAAGGATCCGCGATAGACGCGGAGAGAAGCAGAAGCATCAAGCAGTCAGGAAGCGAAGAAGAAAGAGAAAGCAAGCAGACAGAGCCGAGGAGCCGACAGCCGAGAGAGCCCAACAAGAGAACTCGTGCCTGCCTATATACTCCGCCTCCGCCTCCGCCCTCGCCTCCGGTGGTTGGTTGGTTCCTCCACACCTACCATAGCCTGACTTCCGCTCTCCCCGTCAGCTCACCGCCCGACCCAGATCTCCGCCCAAACAAACCCGAGCATCGGATCGGATCCGCCCCGCGCTTTGCCGCCGGCAACCAGCCATGGCGACGGCCTTCGATGCCTACACCGACAAGAACGCCGTCTTCCGCCGCCTCAAGGCCAAGCCCGAGAACAAGGTGCGTGCGTGTTCCCAACTCCCTCACTTGCTACTACCGGCCTGGATCTAGGGCCTTCTCCTTCTCCCGTCAGATGCTCAGATCACATCTCACCATGCCAACCCCCCTCATCCATCATACAGATGTGCTTCGACTGCAACGCCAAGAACCCCACCTGGGCTTCCGTCACCTACGGCATCTTCCTCTGCCTCGACTGCTCCGCCGTCCACCGCAGCCTCGGGGTCCACATCACCTTCGTCAGGTACCACTCCTCCTCCCTCCCCACTCTCACAATCACTTAGATCTCGTTGCTTCCGCTCCAGATCTCGTCCCGCGCTCAATCATGACGCGGCGCTAGGATAGAAATTTCCAGCCGTCTAGCAGTATGCTCGATGCCAGTGGATCTGAGAGCCCTCCCTATCACATTTGGATTTTGGAATAGGGAATACCCTACCCGGATAGGGTTGCAATGCAGATCATGCTCCTTACCTTAGCCTGTTTTGTTTAAGGCAGGCAGCATCCTGGCTCCTTATGATCCTCATAAAATGCCTGGTTGGTTTAGAGCTCCTGTACCACGCCCGCTGCCTGCCGACACAATGAGGGCAGGCCTTGCAACTCAACCTCTCTGCCCTGTACGAAACTAATAGAGTACTAATAATAGTAGCGGCACATATACCACGTGCTATTTCCATACCTCTTGGAACTCGGCCTCCCACATCTCTAACCTTGGACTCTAGGAGCAAACGAAAAGTGCCACATGAATGAACCCCATAGCCCCACTACATGATGATCACAGATGCTACTCATGCATTTCTCTCTCTCTTTCTCTCTCTAAATTTATGTGCCCTGACTGCCAACTAGTGGTCTACCATTCCTTTTCTTTTTTGCTGCATTTATTTTTCCGCCCTCTTCTTACTAGCACAAAATTTCCCTACTCCCTCATACGGCCTGGGTGAGATAGAGTGTCTCGACCAGTGATGCCGTGTCAATTTCATATAAAACCATATCTGTGTCTTCCGCAGGTCAACGAACCTTGACTCATGGACTCCAGACCAGCTGAAGATGATGGCTTTTGGAGGCAACAACCGCGCACATGCTTTCTTCAAGCAGCATGGATGGACCGATGGTGGCAAGGTTGAGGCAAAGTACACATCAAGAGCTGCTGAACTGTACAGGCAGATGCTTAACAAGGAGGTCGCTAAGAGTGCCACGACGGATAATGCCCTGCCGTCCTCACCCGTCGCTGCGTCTGAGGCTTCCAAGCCATCTGTTGACTTCCCTGAATTCAAGCTCCCAGATGCGCCAGCAGCACCGGCAGAGAATCTGAATGGGAAGCACGAGCCCAAGTCCCCCAAAGCCGCTCCCCGTTCACCAAAAGCTGCCACGCATCCCACCTTTGCCACTTCCGTAAAGAAGCCCATTGGCGCAAAGAAGGTTGGAGGCAAAACTGGAGGGCTGGGTGTTCGAAAGCTTACTACAAAGGTAATACCTGCATATCTGAAGGGCTAATTTGTTCTTCCCAGGCTGTCACAGAATTATACGATTTTCAATTCGAACTAACCCCTGCCTCCCTTTTTTTTTAAATTTGTACTGCAGCCAAATGAAAGCCTGTATGAGCAGAAACCAGAAGAGCCAAAACCTGCTGTACCTGCCTTGGCTGCTTCAACTACAACAAAAGGTGGCCCATCCTTGCATTCACGTTTTGAATACGTGGAGAATGAGCCATCAGCTGATTCGAGAACTGGGGGATCTGGATCTCGTGTGACTGGCCATGTAGCCCCACCAAAATCATCAGACTTCTTTCAAGAGTATGGGATGGGTAATGGGTTCCAAAAGAAATCTAGCAATGCCTCAAAAACTCAGGTAAAACTATGGTGATGGTGACATGATGATCCAGTATGCTCAATTTATATGCAACTTTCCCCAGTTAAATCAAACTATTGTGGTCTCTAGTCTTTTCTAACATTTGGAACCTTAGCCTCTATGCAAACATTTGTGACCATTTTTTTCTATGATTATATTGATTTCCTTATGAATTGTTTTTGTTGACATACTGTACACTATTGTGCTTAATGGCGTAGCTTGCTTGAGGTGAAGTTATGATTGTCTATTTGCTCTCTGATCCCTAGACAGTTTATGTCATTGGCCTGTCTACTCATTATCATGATATTGCAAAACATTGGATACATTGTACATGTTTATAATGCTATGACCCTTAAAATATCTTTAAGTTGCTCTCCTGTCATGTCTAGCTGTTGCTTTTTTAGCTTGTAACAAGCAGTCAGTTATGGTATGATTAGTGCTTTTGTAAAATGACATCATTTTTTAAATCTAGTAAGGTAAATATTGTGCAATTATGCTCAAATAGTTTTCATCAGCCAGATTTCCAGTTACTTTGTTACTTGATCTGACTCTAAATGCTTTTCTTTCCAGATTGAGGAAACTGACGAAGCAAGGAAAAAATTCTCTAATGCTAAGGCGATTTCATCATCTCAGTTTTTTGGTACTCAAAACAGAGAAGAGAAAGAAGCTCAACTATCCCTTCAGAAATTCGCGGTGGGTTTACTCTTGCATCACAATGTCATTGATTTTTTGTTTTTGTCTCAGTTCAAACTGAATTACTTACTTGAAAAATCTATTGTTCAAATTTTGCAAAAAAAAAAAGGTAGTCTAGGGGCATCCAGTACTTGAATAAACCTTTTTCAGAAGTTTGCTTTCTTCTTAAATTTCATCTGTTTTGACCAGGGTTCTTCATCCATTTCAAGCACTGATCTTTTTGGTCGTAATAATGTGGACAATTCTAACCTGGACCTAAGTGCTGCTGATCTCATCAACAGAATATCTTTCCAGGTAGCCTTTTGTAAATTGTTGGCACAATCTGTTGTTTCTTGGATGTTTAGCTTCTAGCACCTTAGTTTGCATACGTTTTTAAGCCACAACTAAAGTTGACAATTCATGTATTAGTTTTTTTTGCGAATAATTCATGTATTAGTTAGTGGAATTGGGCTAAGGAAACCAGTATCTTGCAGAGACGTCATGTCATGTGAAAGTCGCATAAGTTAACAGTCTCATTTCCTGCCATGGTTTTGTAGGCTTCACAGGATCTATCTTCACTCAAGAACATAGCTGGGGAGACTGGAAAGAAGCTGACATCTTTGGCCTCCAATTTCATCAGCGACCTGGACAGAATCCTTTGAGCAGGCGAGGCCAGCAGCATTTTTCCTACCTGCACCAGAATATTTCCCTTCTGGTGCATCACCGACAGTTGAAATCAATTCTTGCACAGCTACAGCTAGAGGATAGCAGATGATTCTTATTATGCGTTTGTATTTTGAGACTCCATCCACATGAAGATATTTTTATTCGTTAAAACTTCACAACGGTGAAGCATACAATTATATACATTCAGGTTGCTTGTATGTTGGAAGGAAAGTTCATACTGTCCTGTGCGTGTGGTAAATGAAACCCAAGCAAATGTTTTAACTGTGATGATGACTTTTCAAAAAAAAAACTGTGATGATGATGAAGATGCTCTTGTCATGATGGTTGATATAGAAATTGTCACAAACTGTGTCTGACGTATGACTATGATAAATTGATAATGGAATTCTGTTTTGTGGTCGTTTTCGTGCCGGCTTGTCAAAGATTCAGCCAGCAGCATGAGAAAGCTGACTAAATGTTGCGGCTGTCTTTGGAATTGCTTGTTTTCTCGTGAGGCAGTGGAATTTAGCGAAAAATAATTGAAGATTTCGGCCAAATTTGTGGCCAAGTTGCAAGAAGCATGACGTATGACCGACAGAAACTCCGGGCGCTGCCACGCCAGATTCGTCAGTATTAAACGTCAGTGCCGTTTACTCTGTTGCTTGCTTTCGTTGGCAATGTCGTCTTATCAGGAAGTATTAATTCGTATTGAGAACTTCATATTGATTAGTAAATTGGGAGGCTGACATTTGGCGTCTAGTTTGTCGGCCATTGGGCAATAGAAGGGTCCATAGCAACAGATTCAATCTAGGCTCTCCTTTGAGCAAGGATCTTCCACAAGGCAAATTCTCCTTTTGTTCCTAGTCTAATATATAAATAGGAGGAGAAAAGAAAGTCATCCTTTTTTATTAGTTTATCTATACTATAAATCTATACTATAAAAGAACGTAGAAATTGAAAATCTATTGTTACCCAGAAAATTACCTATCCACCTTAGATCGACAGGTAGATCCACGAGAGAAAAATGACAGGAACATATGAAACAAGCCTGTTTCTCTCTTCCCGCGCCTCGCTCCCCTCGTTTTTTCTCACCCCGCGCGGCCGCGCGTACCCACACCCACCGACGCGGCCCCTTTCTACGTCCTCGCCAGTCGCGACGCTTCGTGCCTTCGGAAGTTCGGAGTCGCGCCGCAAGCAGTCTCCGCAGCGGTTCCACGCTCCACCCGTCGGCCCACCACTGCACCTCGCAGTCCTTCCAGGGAATCCCATCGTCGCTCTCTCCGGCAACGTAGCCACAGCGGGCACCACCACCGCCAGGCGACCAGCACCGTACGGTGGGCAGAGGCCTGGCGACGACTTGGCGGCCGTCGCTGCCGCCCTCCACGAGGTGCCCAGGTCGGCGCGAAGCCTCGGCAGATTTGTCCGCTCCGATCCCACCACCACCGTGCCCCGCGGGCGACGTCGTCGTCAACGACGGGGGCGCGCAAAAAGGCCCTCAGCCCCCCCGAAGCACAGCCACGACGGCACCTCGCCGCTGCCGCTTGGCATGGACTGGAGCCCTCCCCTGAAGAGATGGGTAAGCGCCCGCGACCCCGTCTCGCATCTCTCTCCTACCCAACCCCGCCTGCCTTCATCACAGTCATTTAGGTATGCTATTACAGGTTTTGTGGTGCCAGATAACAGGTTTCTCAGTCGGACAATCCAAATAAAGTAGTAATCATGTTTACTGCAAATTGACATTGCTATGGTTATGCGGCTTCTGTTTATGATTGAATCAGCATGCCCTTCGATGAATAGGATTCACAAAATTTCAAGTCTCTCTCTTGCTGATACATATGATTGAATGTTCTTTGTTTAGACTGATCGGTATCCTTTTGGTGCGACAAGTGTGTACGGTTTCCTTTTATTCTATCTGTGTGTTTGCTTGACGGAATATGAACAGTACAAGCTAACAGAACTTGCGCATTTGTACTGATCCATGGAGAGACCTGTGAAAATCGGAGGAAAATAATTAGAGATCTAAATACTGTCAAATTAATTTTGCTAAATTGATAACTTTATTCTCTGCCTGTGAAAAATATGTTTTCATATGCTACTCTAACCAAAATTTCTTCATTTATTATAATGATTTATGTGATTTAGTTTCTTATGTTGTATGGTGTAGAATGTTGGCCTAAAAAAGACGACATGTTCAACAGATAAGTGTCGCGGAAATGCGTATGTTGCGTTGGATTTACGGTCATATAAGAAGGGATCGAGTTTGGAACGATGATATACGTGATAAATTAGGGGTAGCACCAATTGAAGAAAAGTTTATCTAACACTGGTTGAGATGGTTTGGATATATTCAACGGAGACTTCTAGAGGCACCGGTGCGTAGTGGAATCCTAAGCCAGGATAGTAACGTGAAAAGAGACAGAGGAAGACCGAAGTTGATTTGGGTAGAGACAATAAAAGGAGACTTGAAAGGATGGAATATACTCAAAGACTTAGCCTTAGATAGGAATGCATGGAAAACAACTATTCACGTGTCTGAACCTTGATTGCTTCGGCTGGGTTTCAACTCTAGCCTATCCCAACTTATTCGGGACTTAAAGGCTTTGTTGTTGTTGTTGTAGGCAAGAAGATAAACAGTATAAGCTAATAGAACTTGCGCATTTGTACTAATCCATGCAAAGACTTGTGAAAATCGGAGGAAAATAATTAGAGATCTAAATACTATGAAATTAATTTTGCTAAATTCATAACTTTATCCTCTGCTCGTAAAAAATATGTTTTCATATTTTACTCTAACCAAAATTTCTTCATTTATTATAATGATTTATGTGATTTAGTTTCCTTATGTTGGCAAAAAATAATAAATTTCTGTAGACGTAATAGGAACGTAAAGCATTAAAAATGTAACACTCAAGCATTCTGGGAACTGGCAAAGTTTGTGTAGGTATGCCTAACAAGGAGGAAATTCGGGCCAAAAAACATGAGAATCAACGAGATAGATATGCTGCATTGCGTAGCGATGAGAAGGACGAAGTTCGAGCCAAAAAACATGAATATTAGTGTAGTCGTCGGGCTTGTCTGAAGGCCCAGGCTTGATGCATCCAAATTGATTGCACCATCTGAAATCACAGCTAAGAAGGAAGAAGCTCGGGCCAAAATTCGTGAGTATCAATGAGAAAGGTATGCTGCATTGCCTAACCACAGGAAGGAGAAATTTCAGGAAAAAATCGTGAGTACCAACGTAGTCATCGGCTTCACAAGTTGATAATATAGGTATTTTGCTTAGGTTTTTGCTCTCCACTTTTTTGTTTATGCTCTTTTTTTGGTTTTTGCCCTTCACTCTCAATTGTTGGCACCGTTCATTTTAGGAAAAATAGTACTTATAATTATTTTTGAGTCTTTTAGATCAAGGCATTTGTGGCAGAACCACCTAATCTAATGCCTCTCAGGGATACTTGTCCACTATTAGACACTAAGTACTCAAGGGAAGACACTAAATTACGCAGTTCTGTCGAGCACACCCTAAGGGAGAACCCAAAAATCCACATTTTTCCATTAGGATCACAAATGAGAGAATAAAGCTTACAACATTCTTAAATCATTTCTTACATCACTTTCCATGCAACATCAGAGTATAATATTGATGGATTATAACAGCAGAACATACCCATGTTATCAGAGTTATGAACAATTTAATTTAACAGCGGAATATAAATATGTGATCAGAGTTACAGCGAAAATAAATATCTATTCATGACATGGTGAAGCATTGATATATAAACTATGACAACAGATTATAAAACTTCTATATAAAAACATTTGGTGAGAGTTATGAAGAAAAGCTATGATCGCAGCATAAAGGAATCCTCTCTGAGCCCACCAGGAGGGATCCACACATAAGAGTCAGCTCTAGCATCCGTCTGCCACCTGCAACAGGGGAAAATAAAACCCTGAGTACTCAATTATACTCAGCAAGACTTACCCGACAGGAGAAAAGAAAAGACTACAAGGATATGCTAGACTGTAGACAAGTCATACCGGATCGCCGGCGATTCACGAATCAATGTGCCCAGCTGGGTACCCTAAAACACACGCCTAGCTTATACCCCAGGCACAAGCAAGACCAACCCATTACCCTCCTATCATGGGGTCCAGGTCCCCGTCCAAACTTGGACTCCAAGCCCCCACTCCTGAGTCCCGGACTCAGTACGGTGTTTAGACCTCCACCATTCCCGCTTCCAATCAGTCGGTCCGAAAAGAGCCGGAACCCATAACAAGAGAGCAATGAGTCTTCCCGCACCCATACATAAGTATGTGTTTAGGATAATAAGTCTGTGACCTGCCTAGAACCCAATGCAACGGTCGGTCCTTAACCGACACAGGCAGAACAAATGCAATCCGAGCCTCGCTCGAATGCCAAACCAAGTCTAGATTCAAAGTATCATTCCGCCCGGTCTCCAATTATCATTCATATATATTTTCAGGTGATAACAATATAATAGCAATATTAATATCTTTCATATCTCTCACGAGTGACAAGCAATCACTCGACTTCTACCGGAGTCCTGTAGCATAGCAATCTACACGATCCTATCATACTAGTAAGACTCATAGGATAAAGATATATATATGCATGTGGGTTTCATTCAACTCCTTAAAACTTAATGCACAAATATAATATAAAGTGCAGAAAAGTAGAAGTTATGCACCGGGACTTGCCTAGGTAAAATATAACCAAAAGTTAGTATTTCATCTTCCTGACATGATTCCTGGCACCATCTTTTCCACTACTCCAGTTGATTCCATGATCCATCATCGTTCCTATTATGGTATGCAATGCGATGCAGAGATGATGCAGCAGTTAATTAACAAGGTAACAACAACTCTTAAAACAGGGTACATACTATGAACTAACAAGATATCTCTAATGACTAATGTACTAATCTACGTATCAACATCGTCGAGAAAGGTGTCATTTCCCAACAAGTGTTTTAGTTAT